CTGATTGACTGGCGGGCACCAGGGCACAGGGTCTACTCGATGCAGCTGGGCCTGAGGCTGGTTTTGTTGCTTACCTGGAGGGTACACAGCGAGCCCGCCTCTGTGTGCCACCTTCTTCACTTCTCTAGTTGTAGGACTTCCATTCAGCCAGTTTTCGGGCGGTTCTGAATTTTTTTAAAAAAATATATTTTATTTTTTTTTACAGAGAGGAAGGGAGAGAGATAGTTAGAAACATCGATGAGAGAGGAACATCGATCAGCTGCCTCCTGCACATCTCCTACTGGGGATGTGCCCGCAACCCAGGTACATGCCCTTGACCAGAATCGAACCTGGGACCTTTCAGTCCGCAGGCTGACGCTCTATCCACTGAGCCAAGCCGGTTTCGGCGGTTGTTCTGTATTTTACTTGTGATTTTGATACGGTTTTGGGAGGCAGCAAGCACAGGCAGTTACCTACGCCTTCATCTTGGTTCTCTCCAGGCCAGTCCCTTTCTGAGAGGGAGTTTTTTGACTTGCCATTGAATGTGGAAACGAAGCAGTGATTTGGAGCTACATATGACTTTCTGGTGCTCTTCTGAAAGTATAAAGAAATCCATGTATTTTCCAAATAAAAGTAACTTTTTGTGCATTCCTATGCTTTCCCACCTAGAGAAAGGTGTGATGGTACATCCAGGCCATAGGAAAAAGGAGCAGGGAAATTACTGTGTGACTTTTCTGTTGTTCACAGAACAACCATAACTTTTGTTTTTCCGTGTGAGCAGGTTGGCTACTCTACCTGAGAAACCACCTGCTATCGACTGGGCTTACTACAAGGCCAACGTGGCGAAGGCCGGCTTAGTCGATGACTTTGAGAAGAAGGTGAGACGTCAGGCAACTAAAGCGCTGGTCTGGTAACGGGGCTGTGGGAAGAGGGGGGACGGCAGATAAGTACATACTCGGGGTGACAGCAAGGAAAGAGGGGTGGTGGTAGCACTCAGATCCTCAAGGAAGCTCAGGTGAGGTGGGTGTGGCCAGAGGGCTCACGTTAGTAGAGTTAAATGGTAAATGCATGCAGATAATTCGGGGTCTGTTTATTCGAATGGTTTTTGTCCAAAGAAACAGTACAGGGTAGCCTTCTTCAAGGAGCCAGAGGGCTGTCAACTTACACATTTCCACTCCTCTCCTCCTCAGTTATTTCTTGGTCCTCCACCTGTGTCCTTTGGAATAAACTGATATCTTTTCTACCCTTCCCCTGTTTTCCTCCTTTCTCTACTCTGCTTTTATTATTTTTATTTTTTTACTGTAATTTACAAGTTGTAATTTCTTGTTAACTTGTCAAGGGCCTACTCTGTGCCAGGTGCAATGCTGAGTGTGGGGGGCCATCTTCTAGGGCAGTGGTTCTCAACTTTGGCTGCACATTAGAATCACCTGGGAATCTTTTAAAATCCTGATTTCTGGGCCTCATCCTCCGGAAATTCTGTTTCTTTGTTACTAATGTTGTGGTCCCACTCCATAACTAAGAAACAGAATTTCTGGAGGATGAGGCCCAGAAATCAGGATTTTAAAAAGATTCCCAGGTGATTCTAATGTGCAGCCAAGGTTGAGAACCACCATTCTAGGGAGACCATCTCCATTATGCAAACATTAGTTCCACCAAGTCCGATTGGGTTTCACTTAAAAGAGAAATCAGAATTTCTTTAGAGCTATAAGCTTCTAAGAGATTCCCCCTTCCCGCCCTTTTTTTTTTTGTAGAGGGAGAACGCCATTGATTTGTTGTTTCACTTATTTCTGCATTCATTGGCTAATTCTTGTATGTGCCCTGACCAGGGGTTGAACCCACAACCTTGGCATATTAGGATGATGCTTTAACCAACTGAGCTATTACCGGGCCAGGGATAAGAGGCCATTTTTGAGGTCATCCAGTTCAACTGTCCTTTTCAGATGAAGAAACTAAAGGTCATCGTAGTAAAGAATTGTCCGAGATCTCCGCTTAGTTAGTGACAGGATGGAGAAGAACTTGCGATCCCTTTCCCTGTCTAATGTTCTTTCCACTCCAACACCCTAGATTCATACTGGCTTTTTCTTGGAATGGAGAATGTGTTCTTATGTGATCTCTAAGGTTTAGCAGCTTGGAGCTCCTGGGTATATTAACAACAGCTCCCCGTGCCTGTGTTTATAGTTTAGTGCCCTGAAGGTTCCCGTGCCAGAGGATAAGTACAGTGCCCTGGTGGATGCTGAAGAAAAAGAAGATGTAAGTAGTTGAGACTCTTTTATTCCAAAATGCTCTTAACTCCTGATGACTTCTTAGTCATTAGGTTGAAGTAGAGTGAACTAAAAGGCGGAATAAAATAAAACTCTAGAACATGCAACCTCGGAAGTTGCCTGGTAATTGGAGAGAAGGGGCTGATCAGTTTGTTCTCTCTCTTGATTGTGGCGATGGTGTCACAGGTGGATACATATGTCATAACTGATCAAGTGGGTTCTTTAAATATGTGCATTTTATTGTATGTCAGTTATACCTCAACAAAGCTGTTACAATAATAATTTTTTAAAAAGCTGTTACAAACAGTTAAGGAGTTGGAATTGGGTGGGAAAATTACCCAGTGTGCTTGAAAGTACCGAAGGCCAAAAGTTGGAGTGCAGGTGGCTCCGCAAAGGAGAAGTCTGGCTAGGTGGTCAGGCAGCTTGTCCTGACCCTTCCGCACCCAGCACCTATGAAACATGGGCATTTTGCAGGTTGCCTAGACACGTCACTTGCTGAAGAACCCTGTCCCGCCATCATAAGCTGCCTCCCAAAGCCAGCTCCCCCAGTTGTCATGGCAGCTACAGGTTCTCCGTAGAGAGTGAGAAAGCAGCCGTGGTCTGGCTCCAGGACTTCTGAGACCTTGGGAGCCTCAGGGTCAGGACACTTTAACTTGGATCCAAAACAGAATGTCTCCCTTCTTTTAAAGGCGAAAAGTTGTGCTGAGTTTGTGTCTCTCTCAAAGACCAGGATTGAGCAATACGAGAAAGAGGTAAGGATGACCTTTGGCCTTTGGGATAAGTTTCCTCTCTTCCACCGAAACCTGCCTTGGGTTCCTTTTCTGCATCTCTGCAACCCTGCTGACCTTAACACGTTTCCCCTCCTTTCAGCTGGAGAAGATACGGAACATAATTCCGTTTGACCAGATGACCATCGAGGATTTGAATGAAGTCTTCCCGGAAACCAAATTAGACAAAAAGAACTATCCCTACTGGCCTCACAAGCCAATTGACAGTTTATAAACTTAAGTCTGAGAGGAAGCTCTGCTCCTTGTATTTTAAACTCTGGACATTAAAAATAATCAGATGGTGCTGAGTGTGTCTGCTCCTTTGCAGTTGAGATAGTTACAACTCTGAGGTGACCTCACTGGAAGTGGGCTTTGTGTTAACATGGAAAGGTGAGCCTATAGGTGTACGTGGGTTCAGTTGTCTGATGGTCAGGATATGCTCTTAATCCCAGAAGATAAAGATCTAGAGGATTCCAGAAGACTCTTTGTTGAGTGCCAGCACTATACCTTAGTCACATTTCTATTCCCCAGGGCTTAGCACTGTGCTTGGGATTTAGAGGAGCCTTAATATGAATTCATTGTAAATGAAAGAGAAGAAATATGAGCCTTCAGGGCAGGGGTCCTCAAACTTTTTAAACAGGGGGCCAGTTCACTGTCCCTCAGACCGGTGGAGGGCCGGACTATAGTTTAAAAAAAAACTGAACAAATTCCTATGCACACTGCACATATCTTATTTTGAAGTAAAAAAACAAAACGGGAACAAATACAATATTTGTATTTGCATGTGGCCCGCGGGCCGTAGTTTGAGGACTCCTGCTTCAGGGGTTCGCATCTAGCCTAGGAGGTTATCACATGAACCTCGGATAATAGGGACAACTAGTATATTAGTAAATGATCATGACTTACAAAGCATATACTATGTTCTAAGAATTGTTCTAATCACTTTAGATAAATATCTCATTTCTCCTCAGAACAACCCCATGAGGTAGGTAGTGTATCAGCCAAGACATTCAATAAGGCCTTTGAAGTCGTGGCTGGATTGGCACATGCTGGGGTTGCAGGTTCCATCCCCAGGATGGGGCTTGCAAGAGCTGATCGATGTTTCTCACATGGAAGTTTCTCTCTCCCTCGCTCTGTAAAATCAATAAAAACAAATATATATATAAAGTCCTTTGAAGGTGACAACATTGTCAATGATAAGTTTGCTATTCTCTATTTTGAATTGTCTTCTGTCCTCTCTCTCACTAGAATGTAAGCTTCTTGGAGGCAGTAGAGGATGGTTTCAGGGAGAACTGAAGCTTGAAACAGGAAAAGAATCGGTGTCTCTCATAGTGCAGAGGAGCCCACGGTGCTGCAGTTCTGTGGCAAGGCTTGGGAGCCAGAGGGATGCTTTAACGTAGCATCCATGACACTTGGTGACTGGTTTGGAGTAGAGACAAGAATTCTGAATGACCCTGGAGAAGAGAGAGGAGAATTCTGGATTTCTAATTCTTTGTTTTGTGTGTGGTTGTTTTTTTAAAAATATATTTTATTGATTTTTTTACAGAGAGGAAGGGAGAGGGAATAGAGAGTTAGAAACATCAATGTTAGAGAAACATCGACCAATCGCCACCTGCACACCTCCTACTGGGGATGTGCCCGCAACCAAGGTACACGCCCTTGACCGGAATCAAACCTGGGACCCTTGAGTCCGCAGGCCGAAGCTCTTCACTGAGCCAAACCGGTCTGGTGTGTGTTGTTTCTTTTACAAAGGTACAAGAAACTGGTTTTTAAACTTTTTTGAGTCAAGGACTTTTGAAAATCTCAAACAACACAGCACATAACGTGAGATATTCAACCTTGAAAGCCCAGCTATACTCCTCAGGTGCTATGGGCCTCAAGGTTTAAAAAAGAAAATCATCTCTGGCCAAACTTGTAGTTTAAAAAAATTTTTTTCTAAAGGATACACACGTATACAGGAAAGTATGAAAATCATAAATGTACATATTCAATAGTCCCTTTTTATTAATGTATTTTTAAATTTATTTTATTGATTTCAGAAAGGAAGGGAGGGGGAGAGAGAAACATCAATGATGTGAATCATTGATCAGCTGAGGATCAAGCCCACAACCTGGGCATGTGTCCTCAACCAGGGTGGAACCCAGGACCCTTCAGTCCACAGGCCAACATTATCCACTGAGCCAAAGCAGCTATAGCCCCTTTTTAAACACTCCTGGAATCAGGATTTGAGTGCCATCTTTTTTCCTGCACAGAACTGTGGGTGCCTTCTCCATGAGAACAGCCCACAGCAAAATCTTTGGCATTGAATTGGGCAGCATTTTCACCCCAATGGGAGGCAGGGAGAGACTAGGGGCTAAGGCGTGATGGCAAACCTTTTGAGTTTGGGGTGTCAGCATTTTGAAAAACCCTAACTTAACTCTGGTGCTGTGTCACATAGAAATTTTTTGATATTTGCAACCATAGTAAAACAAAGACTTATATTTTTGATATTTATTTTATATATTTAAATGCCATTTAACAGAAAAATCAACCAATAAAATGAGTTCGCGTGTCACCTCTGACACGTGTGTCATAGGTTCGCCACCACTGGGCTAAGGTTTTGCCTATTAACTTTACGATCTGTGATGGTCTCTCACAGAACACACTCCTTTCAGAACACACCAGATGAGTGGATACCAACTCAGAGGCATCAGGAAGTAGGGCCCCAGAGCGCAGTACAGCTTGATCATACCTTTCAAAGTGCACAGTACCGCTTGATCAAAAAGAAAGGGTAAGCCCAGCAGGCGTGGTGTGGACCACCTATGAACCAGGTCATGGTTTGACTCCCGGTCAGGGCACATGCCAGGCTTGCCAGCTCGATCCCCAGTGTGGGGCGTGCAGGAGGCAGCCCATCAATGATTCTCATCATTGGTGTTTCTATCTCTCCCTTTCTGAAATCAATAAAAAAAATACACACTTTTTAAAAAGAGTAAGATAGTTGCTACCGAGGCTCCTCTGTGCAACACATACAGAAAAGGCTATAAAAAAAGACAAAATGGACGGCAAGGTTTTGTTTTGTTTGTTTTTACCTTACCTGGGGTCTAGAAAAAATTTGGTCAGTGGTTAATTACCTCACCCCAGATGGGACTCGAACCCACAATCCCTGGCTTAGGAGGCCAGTGCCTTATCCATTAGGCCACTGGGGCACTACGCAGGCGGCGCGCGATTATTTGCCTTTTGACTGTGACGGGGTTAAGCTGCGTAATGACGTCATCCCGGAAGCTCCGCGTTGCAAAAAATCAAGGTTATCGCTCAGTGGGATAGCAGTCCAGAACCGAGAGTGGGTTGGAAGATTGCAGAGGTCCACGGGAAAAGGTTAAGGTTTGAAGTGTAACACAGTGTGCTGACCTCTCCTTAGGAGAAGACTAGAACCTTCCACCTCCTGAGCCAGGGTCAGACATTTTACTCTTTGCACCACACATGCCCTGTAAAGGTTGAGTTCTATGGCGATGCTTCTTGAGGGATATAAGGACGCACCGCACAGACGTTGGCTGCATAGACTGCATCCTGGCCCCGCCTTTCATGCACCCTGTACCCCAGCACCGGCAATCTTCCCGGGAACTAGCCGCTTGAGCTGCCGCTGCCGCTGCCGCTGCCACCTACAAGGAAGTTACACCTGAATATCACATTGCTTCCTGCACAGCCCGAGGACCGCGTGGCCTAACGGATAAGGCGTCTGACTTCGGATCAGAAGATTGAGGGTTCGAGTCCCTTCGTGGTCGGCTGTGCTTTTGGTTTTTTGTTTTTTGCAGAGGGGGAGGTGGCTCGTGGCTGGAGGCATAGCAATCCCGATGGGCATCGTACTGGCCTCCCTCCTCTCCCCTCTCCTAGTCCCTTGGCCCGCAGACACTCGCCTTCCGGGGATCTCGCTCATTTCCTTGAACCTGCGCGCCGCCGGGCGCCCTGAGGTCTCAGCTGGTACCTCCCAATCTTTTCGTCTTACTCTTTAGCTTTCCGCGTAGCCCGGCGGGTGTACCCTCTGGTTTTCTAGTTGGCTTTCTGCTACTTGTACTAAGTTCGGGTCTAGGGATACGCTCTCCGGCCGCCGGCCCGACAAAAATGTACAGTTTGTGCACGTGCTGTTAAGCTTTACCACGGACCACGTGGAGGAGATGTTTTGTCTCGCCCCAGTGGCCTAATGGATAAGGCACTGGCCTCCTAAGCCAGGGATTGTGGGTTCGAGTCCCACCTGGGGTGGTGCACGTGGCCACCTGCTACAGGTAATTTTTGATGCGCGAACGTGCGGACCCTGCGGTGCTGCACACGGGCAACCAGGGGCTCCATTCCACGTGGTTGGGGCCGCGCGGCCCCTGGAGCCCTGCCCGCTCTCAGCCCCCTCGCTTTTTCGATCAGGGTGTGTCTACGCCGCTCCCCACCCCCAGTTCATTGTTGCCTTCGCCCCCTTCATCCCCTCGCGGTCTTGGCGGGTCCTGGGAACACGCTGCACCTACAGGACAAGTCCTGCTCTCTAGCGTCGGCTGCGACGTGTAGAAAAGTAGAGGGGGTGGAGAGTGTCGCTGTTCGGTGCTTCGCTTTGGGGAACCTTTCGGTGTTCCAGTCCCGTGCACTCGGGTTTTTTTAAATAAGATCGAGCTGCAGTGGAGGGAATTTTTCAGTGTCAAAAATGTAGCTGTACCCCAGGTGGGACTCGAACCCACAATCCCTGGCTTAGGAGGCCAGTGCCTTATCCATTAGGCCACTGGGGCCTGTAGGTTACGGTCTCCGTATTTCTCCCTTTAGTAGTAAATCGGACTGCGGGTATTTCAGGCAAAAATGAATGGGGCACACGTTTACTGAGGGACCCCAAGTCGGGGAGGCGCTTGGATAGGCTTCCGGAGCTCACAATGGACCAGTGAGACGCTCCCCTGGGAGCTGAGCTGACCAACCTCCAGCCACCGCGCGGGGCAGCACGTGGGGCTGGAGCTGCAGGAACACCCAGAGCATGGCCGGTGAAGACTAAGGTCGAGCTAGTATGTCCGCCCCTCTACGGAACCGACAGAAAACCCAGGGATTTTAGGGAAAAGAGGTGTAGGAAGTTCACGAGAGCAGAATAGCCTCAATCATGAAACAAACACTGGACGTCTTCACCATCACGAGGCAGGAACGACCAGGAGGAACAAGTCCTTCCACGTAAATAGAAATATGGGTATATATTCACAATGTACATGTGATCTACAAAGGCATACTGTACAGAAGACAAATATATCGGCCAAGTAGACACTTCGCCCTAATATTTTATTCCTTTCAAGCTGTTAGCCAGAAAGT